AAACCTAGTTAGTGATAGGGGCAGCCTATTTATAAGCGAATTCTAGTCGTCGTTTTGCGTATTACTAAGAACAGACCGAAGGCTATTAACTATATTCCACCTATAGACCGATAGATAGACGGAACGGCAGAATCAGATAGACCTCGGCAAGGACCGCAAGGGACCGGACCAGACCGCGGACCGGACCGGACCATGCAGGGCTTGGTCCTTACTATCAGGACCGCTGGGCGGTCCCAACTTTTATAGGACCGCACCACTGCGGTCCGGTCCGGTCTTGCGGTCCTACAAACGGGACAAATATGTAGAACCCCGTGATTTACATAATTTATGAAGAATCTATTGGTATTTTTTAGTATTTTACTGTCATACTTTGTTATATGTAGCCTAAACGTATTCTTTCCAGAAATTTTGAGTACTTTTCTAGAAATTACTTATGTGCATGATTCATGTTGAAAGGATCAATTGTCCTTTATATCTATTAATTATATACAAAATCCGTATTATGTCTTAGTCTCTTTGGAATACGCCCTGACGAACGCCTCTGAATGTCAAAATCAGGTAGAGGGATCTCATCATTATCAATAGCCCTTCTCTTCCCTAGCGCTCGTAGGCTAGGCTGCTTAATAGATACTTCTGCAGAAGTTTCTATTGTAAGATCTTCCTCGTCATCGCTAATAGGATCAAACTCTTTATCCTCTTGCTCAGTATTATCCTGCTCCTTCTTCGAATGCTTCTCTTGGGTAGAGAGGAACTTATCTACTAGCGCAAGCTGCTTAGACTATATATCAAATCTGGTTGTATACATAAATATTATTAGGTCCTAAATAGTCTGTGGTCTTAATGAGCCCCGGCGATAGTGGCATATATCCCGAGTAGAGTTAAAAAGTCTCTCTACCCTAGAGCCGCTAGCTAGAGTTGTAAGGATATCTCGGGCAAGGCTTGCTAAGATAGGATACTCTGCCTTATAAGCCTTCTAGAAGACTAGGGGTGTTGATTGGATAGTACCTAGAGAGATATAAAGTTAGCAAAAACAAAGATTTGATATACAATAGGAGAGAGGGATATTAAACTTACTACTTCTAAGATACCTTATGAATTTATCTAGAGTAGTCGGTCTTGACTGGATAGAGGTAGTAGGTCTTAGAAGTATATCAATATTAGAGATATCGTTACTTATTGACTAGGAACTTGATATTGTCTATGCCTCTATATGGCGCTTCTGGTAAGGCTGGATATAAGTCTCGAGGGACTCCTTATACCGCGGTGCCTAGTGTTTCTCCTATTCTAGTATCAAGAAGAACTCAAGCTTATTTCGTGGGCCTAAGATAGTCCTAATTGTATAGAGATCATTCGGAATATTATTAGTCTTGCTATAATACTCCGCAAGCTTATTGCGCCTATGCTCGAGCGCTAGTTTTATTACTTTCTTCTACCCGACTTTCTTTCGTGCTAGCTGCGCTTTTGCCTTATTAATATAGGTAAATAAGGCATTGTAGATTCTAAACACATTATGGATAGTCACATTAGTTGTAGCTGATAAAGATGAAGTGAACTTGAAGAAGGGATAGGTGATTGATAGTAGATAATCAACCTGTCGCTATTTATCCTTATCTATCTTTATATTAGTCAGATTAAATTGTGCACAAAATCTATCAAATATAGTCTATAGCCGACGTGCGCGTCGAAGTATAAGAAACGTGGAATTCTAGCGTGTTCGGATATCTTGTATTGGTATAAGTTTCGGTTCTTTTGTCTGAAGTCCAATAAAGCTCTCGCGGCGCTAGGGGCTTTTATTGATATAGACTGCAATTTTACGAACCTAAAGGATATTATATAGTTAGTATCAAATAGAGATACGATAGTAGAAAAAGGAGGGGGTAGTATACTTTGTTGAGGGTTTGCATAATCCTTCTGTTCTCTTGACGGGCGGTATGTCTCTGATCGGCCCACTCTATTTCTTCCCTATCATTCTGTGGGTTTATATCTATCTGACCAAGAAGCTCCTTCAGACTGAGCTGTATAATATGTGCAATATATGGTATACGAATGATCGGTATGTGACTTGGAAGCTTAAGAGACGAAATAGCCTCTTCGAGAGTAGTTAGTAATATACCGTTATTCGATGTATTATCGGTAGTAATCGTAAGCACACGATTGGTAATTTGATGCTTCTTAAGTAGCTCAAGTAGGATACTACTAAGATAGGCGCTAGTGTGGGAGCCACGAAGAGGTTCAAAGCCGAGTAAGATCTCACGGTAGTTCCACTAAAGGTCGATAAAGTAGCCTATAACTGCTATAAACGCCTAACAAAATAGGGAGGTCTAGCAATCCAATGCTATAGAAAGCTTAGCGCCCTCTAGGAGGGTTTGAAGCAGAGAATCCTAACGTTCCTTGACTATCTCCTGAAGATGCCGACGGATAGTCCTAGCACTAGGTATTTTAGGGATAGATAGGGTAGAGGAAGCTATTTCGATAAGGGCGCGAAATTCAGGGTGCTTAATAAGCTGGAATGGCAGGCGTAGAGCAACAATAAAGGTGGTTAACCTATCTATCTAAGCTCCCGGTGAAAACCCCTGTTTGCGGGAGGGAAGATTTGTCTATAGAGAACTATATAAGTTAGTATAAAGTAAGCCTTGTAGATAGTATTTATACCCTATTCGAGATCATCTCTCTAATATCTTGTGTCTTACTCCTTCCCTTTTGATAGGTAGCGGCTTGTGAGAAATACCTATTTATAGTAGATATTCCCCGGTGCCGGTCTATAGGATAAGCAAGGATATGATTATACTGCTTATATATCACCTTAGGGGATCTATCAGAGATTGCAGCAACCTAGTAGAAGTGTTCCTAAGAGCCTACTAGCCGTTTACTATCAAAGATATTCCGTTTTGTTGCACTTCTATACTCGGTTTTTAGCCACCAAGCGACAAAATCCTTGTTAAACATCTCTATCCAAAGGATATAGTTCTTCTTGCTAAATAGACTAACACGCTCAAGAGTTTGTGGAATCGGGATAGGTACTACCGGTTATGTGAAGGCCACACTAGGAGTAGATATTGGTGTTACGCCTCCGTCTAGGTTAAATAGCTTATTAGATGTAAGGAAAGAGAGTGTATCAACTGGGTTGTCCTCAAAGATAGATAAGGGATAATTATCCGAGAATTGGGATGCGTGGCTCTATGATATATTGATGAATAATTAATAGATATTAGGTAGTGTGGCTTTAGAGTGATGGTCAAGACATACTATTATCTTTTATCTAGGCAAAAGAATCCTAAGGGGTATTTATATTCAAGAAAATGATTTCAGATAGAATAGGCTAGATTATAGACCGTAATTGGCTAATAAGACCCACTCTACTTAGATCTATGCGGTCTTAGACCGCGGGGACCGTATAAAGACCGTAAGGACCGTATAAAGACCGCAAGGACCGCATAAAGACCGTAAAGACCGCATAAGGACCGCAAGGACCGTATAAGGACCGCTAATAGATCGCCAAAAGACCGCAAGGACCACCAAAAGACCACAAGGACCGTATAGAGACCGTATAAGGACCGCTAACAGACCGCCAAAAGACCGCAAGAACCGGTAGAACTTATTAGATCCTGCAAATAATCTATATCTAACGCGCATGAATCGGCCTAAATGATAACAGCTATTAGATATCTAGTAGGAATATCAACAGTTTCCAGGCAATAGATAGGCTCAAATTCTGACGGCCGTCAGAAATCTAGTGGGGATATCAACAGTTTCTAGGCAATAGATAGGCTTAAATTCTGACGGCCGTCAGAAATCTAGGCTAGGGATATTAATGGTCATGACTCTTCCTAAGCGTACAAGTGCTCCGGTGTAGAAAATATATATATCTTTGCATGATCAGAAGTAAATTCTAAAATGTCAACCACAACAGTCCGAAATCGAAAGTTCATTGGTAATTAACTTAATACCAAGCTTCATGAAATCAGATACAAGGTAGTTTCAACTGTTTTATTGATTGTTAGACCTGATTCATTATCAAAATTTTTGTAGATACCAAAACAGTGTTAAATAACAGTAAAAAACGTGGCTGAATAATCAGTTTATACGGCCAAACAAGGAAGGTCTTGGCATAATTATGAAATTGCGGGGGACCGCATGGGGGACCGCAAAGGACCACGGGGGACCGTGGTGCGGTCCTGACTACTTTGAAAAAAGACCAAAGACCGCATGGTCCGGTCCCGGTCCTCAAAGTTGGGACCGGACCCGGTCCTTGCCGAGGTCTATTCACAACTAAGGACAGTGCTGATTCAGTGTTTACATTCTGCTTTTTTTTTGTATGGTACAACCGTAATGCATGCTGCATGTCCTATCCTCGCCGCAATCTTTATTTGCTCTGTCAGCGGCCCTTCTTTCTAGTTAACTATAACTGCTGGAAGAATGGTGGAGGAACTAATGGCTTCCGTGGAAATACCGAAAGCTGTGCCTACTATTCATTGACAGTGTTCATAGGTTTCTCCTATTCAGATTTATATTACCATTCGGGTCCCTATATATTACTGCAACGCATATTTCATAATAACTTTTACGTATTTAAATTTAGATATCCCATTTAGCTTGTCTTCCAGCTCTTCATTTCCGCTGGCTCATTATCTCCAGTTCCTCCGAGAGCCGCTGACAAAGCGGATAAAGAAACTCTCCTCATTCCCAACAGAATAGATAGAGGAGCGACGCTAGCATAAAAAGGGACCGAAGTCACCGAACTGGCCACGGCCGCCTAATCATGGTCACGAGCGGACCGGTGCGGTGTCCGTTTCCGACAAATGATCGTCAGTGGCATAGGACCGGAACTCGGATATCTTGCGGCCGAATAGTGACAGGAACTGCATATAAAGTGGCGTCGGCTACCTCATTGTATCTTAACAATCGCACTATTGACCCCGAAGCCAGTAAACTGTCTCTCGATCGCAAAACACAGCACCTTCGCCCTAGTACGAACTGCCTCCTTGTTTCATTCTCTTAGCATGGCTCTCAATGCAGGGCCCCAGGAAGTCCTGGAGTCGAAAACGGACGTGTGAGTGTCTTTAATTGGATTTTTCTCTTCCACGCTAAGACGGTATGTCAGCCTCATTATTGGCGCAGGGCCAGCTGGTCTCATGGCTGCGTGGTGGATGGCTCGCTGCGACATCAACGTGCGCATAATCGACAAACGTGGTACCAAGGTGATCAATGGCCATGCTGACGGGCTGAGAGCGAGAACCGAGGAGATACTTGATAGTATGGGCCATGGCCTGCAGGAAAAAGTTACCAGAGAGGGCTATATTTTCGAAAGCCTCAAAACATGGGTCTGTAGTAATTTGCGCCCCAGGCCGCTGCCTCCCTACTTCGACGTTGACTGATCAGAGGCGTAAGCAAACAGATTCCAGATGAAAAAGGAGGAATCTTTCGGAATTCTGTTGACAAGTTAATGCAAGACCACATTAACGATTTACCTTCTCCATTCCTGAATGTTACCATAACCCAAGGACGTATCGAGCGCTTCCTGGTTGACGCAATTGGTGAACTTTCCCATTGGAAGTTGGATGTTGAGCGAGGCGTCACTGCTGATTCTCTAGTCTACGATCCTAACTTGGAAAGCGACCATGGTGCGTATCCAATCACGGTGACGTTGCGAACTCTTTCGGACGATGAGGCGAACCCGAAGCCGGCAAATGGTGCCTTTGGTGGTCGCGATGTTCTGGCCAAGAGCAACCTACCACCGGATGAATGGAACCATGGTGATGGACGGAGGCAGAAGTCCGGTACCCTCGAGGTACTCAAGGCTCGATATTTGATTGGGTCCGATGGTGCACATAGCTGGCTCAGGGATCAATTGGATTATCGAACCGAAGGCTCTCGAACTGATTCCATCTGGTGGGTTTATCTAAGCACAGAGAACCTTGATAGAGATGCTTACTGACACGATCAAGGGGGGTAATGGATATTGTGCCTATAACCGACTTTCCAGACATCCGATACCCCTGCTTCATTAAGGGCACACAAGGAACGCTGATGCTCGTCCCGCGGGAGCGCAACATGACGCGGGTCTATGTTCCCTTCAGCGAACAGTCTTCGGGTGATCGATTTAACCGCGCATCGATCACACTTGAGCAGATTGTTTCGAAGGCTAAGAAATTCTTTGCACCCTACAAACTCGACTTTACGGTTTGCGAGTGGTGGAGTGTGTACCAGGTTAGCCAGCGAGTAGCGGAGCGCAGTCAACATCCGGGCAACCGCATATTTCTCACTGGTGATGCTGTACATATGCATTCCCCCAAGGTCGGACTAGGCATGAATACGAGTATTCAGGACGGGTTCAACCTTGGTTGGAAAGTTGCGTTGGCAGTCGCCGGGATCGTTCGTGATGAAAATGCACTGCTCGCTACGTATGAGGGCGAGCGACTCCCTGTGGCTCAGAAGCTCGTCGCCTTCGACCGCACGCTTTTCATTGACAATGGAAATCTGGATCCCAAGGAGTTCCAAAAACGCCATACCGAATTTCGGGAATTCTCAGATGGCCGAAAGCTTATGTATGCACAGAGCATTCTGGTCTCTAAGCAAACAAGCACACAGTCTGTTGCGACTGGACTGATTGTGGGCGAGTCTTTCAAGCACGCTCGGGTCTTGGGGCATGCAAATTCGCAGCTATACTGGACGACAAAACTTTTTGAGAGCGATAGCCGATTCAGGATTGTCCTCATGGCCGGGGACGTAAGTGTGCCGCATCAAATGGAGAGAGTCAAGAGGTTCTGTGAAAGACTGGAAGCCGAAAATGAGGATGAGAGCGGAAGAAAAACGTCGCTTCTCTATACCCGCTATCGGTATCCTTTTACCGTGTCTTCGGATACTCAAGATGTCTGTTCCCCTATCCTACAACACCCTGCTATCTCGTACCTGCATCAACGATGCCTCACGTCTATGGTGTCCCTCCTAGCGATTCACAGCACCGTGGATGCCTCCGAGTCTATCTCTCCTTTCGAATTTCCAGCAGCCCTACGTGGGCCTTTCGACCCAAGCTACCATGGATGGGACTTCTCGCGTATCTTCGTTGATGCACCAGTCCATTATGACCGCTACTGTGACGGTCGAGCATATACAAGGTGGGGGATTGACCGTACAAGAGGGGCTGTAGTCGTTGTCAGACCTGATATGCATGTGGGATGGGTTGGTGAATTAGAGGACCACGCTCTCGAGGCGTTTTTTGCGAATCTACTTAAGTAGACGTTGGCGGAGAAAAGAGTAACTAAAGAGGCTGTCAGTATCTGGGGCGAGGCTGCACGGTCCTTCTTCTTACCAGATAGGAAGCTTACTCTTGATTATGGCGCTCTCAACTTCCTATTCTGTCTGATAAGCCACTACTCCTTAAATGGTGTTCTGAAGTCGAATAACTTGTAGATTTATCTTACAGCAGGTGCGTCACGGCCGTGTTGCCTATTCCAGGTTTCCGTAAGCTCCCCATTTCACCTTAACTACTTTGGCTGCCAGATAGACCATTTCTGGTTCGACATTACTCCTACAGCTGATATTAGGTCACCACGTTTTATCAGACCTATCTGGGCGCAGGTTCAGCCCGCGAGAAAAAGCATAAGTCTGGAAATTGATGAGAAAGGTTGGTACAATATTCTTGGAGTTCTTGGAAGTGGGGGGTTTTATACGCCTTCCAGGAGAATTAATTTCTAATAAATCGCATACCAAACACTTCGCCGACATCGCTACTTGGTGGTCGCTCCAGGAGACAGAGGAAAGAAGACTTGGCGGACTGTATGGCTGTCCCCAACGGCTGCCCGTTTGCGGTTGGATTTTGAATAGCTTCATGCTCTCGGCAGATGATGATCAAGGAGATGCTGGCCGAGGATGCGGCGGTTGGGTTATCCAGACATTCAGGGCGCCAATCCTCAATATTGATCTCCTGTGAGACAATATATCAATCCAATCGAATTTGGCCCGAGAATACCTGGACAGCTCCTCCAATGAGTTTCACCTCTTCGATCCCCTTTTTATCGCGACAAAGCACAACATGAACACCAATATTACTCTTGCGTCCCATCTCAACTCCTTGCACAATCTCATAGTCAAACACCAAATTGTCTGCAGGCTGTTGGCTGAATAAAGAGAGGTATGCCGCTAGACCAGTGGCAGAGCTGCCAGTGGCCGGATCTTCAAAATTCCCCAGAAGCATACGTGTACGAAGCACTGTCTTTCCACCGTCAGGCACATCACGAACATAGAAGTAAAGATTGATGAGCCCTTCGCCATCCCAGCCAGCATCGAGGTAACCTCCATTCAGGGCTGAAAGAGTCTTGATCGTTTCACCGCCAGTGGGCATGTCTATAGCGCCTAAAGCGTTGATGCTCGGAAGCTCAACAGGAATCACAGTCATACCCTTGACGACGGAGAAAACAGGGAAACTGTCTTTTTCAAATTCATTGGTCTGCAGAAACTGGCCGAGGGTGGGATGTAGTCGCAGAAGCTCCGACAAGGGAAATCGCGTCTTATGAAGGTGGAATTCATGCGGAATGGAGGCCGAAACAAGTGACGATGCCGCCATTTGTGAGATTGGAATATCACCAGCTTTAGTTGTAAGGGCTTTCAATTCAGCCTGTTCTTCTCGGCATGGCGATAAACGAAGGAGCCATGATGCGGCACCAATGGTCGGATGGCCAGCGAAAGGAAGCTCCTTTGTGGTCATAAAGATATCGATTCTGCGCTTTGAAGGAGTCATCGGGGAGACCGGGTAGACAAATATGGTCTCCGAAAAATTGAATTCTCGAGCAATGGCCTGCATCTGGTCTCGGGTAACGCGTTCCGAACTAAGCCTCGGAAGAAAAACCACGGCCAATGGATTCCCCTTGAAAGCGCTTGAAGTGAAGACATCAAGCGTCACATAATCGAGGTACAACACCATGTCGGCGACAAATTTCAGTATAAGTGGGATGGAGAATCCAAGACGAGCAGGGATAAAATGTCCTCGTGGGGACCGTGCAGAAACTCAGCTTTTCACCTTCGAAAAAGTCAAAGCAAAATAAAAGGTAGAAGATAACAGTCAAGATTGAAAGTGGTGTTCCGGGCAGCGATGAAAGGAACTCGACGGTCAAGCCGGAAACGTCGAGGCCTTTATTGGTAATGAATCTGGTAATAACTGTAATTGAATGACGCTGGGTCAGTTCAAACTGCCGATATCGGCCTATGGCGGTTTCTGTCGGACTTCGGCAGAATTAAATGATCCACTTTGGTGGTTATTTGAAGTATAATTTTAATAGATAGTTTGGTTCGGTGAATGAAGCGAGAAGGCATTTGCTGAGAAATACCAATCAGACGTCATGTCTGGAAAAGTGTAAAAGGGTAGATTATAAATACCTGCCGTTTGATACGGAACGCTGCTCTCCTTTACGCTTCAAAACTTTCGGAACTGATCTCTGGGCCAAAATGTCTATTTCAAGAACGGCAGCTCATACAGACAAGGCGCCTCAACCCTTTGGGGGCCTCTATTCGCAAGCAGTCATTGCTAATGGCGTTGTCTATTGCTCTGGAATCGTTGCGATTGATCCTGAAACAGGTAGCTTGATTAACGGGGATCTCAAGGCTCATACGGTAAGAAATAGTACTCCAAACTGGTTGCTAGGTGTGGTTGAGACGCTCATAAACTTCTAGAAACGTATCCTCGAGAGCCTTTCCAGTACTCTACAGGCTGCTGGCTCCAATCTCAATCGAGCTGTTAAGATCAATGTTTACCTCGCAAACATGGACGACTTTGCGGCCATGAACTCGGTTTACGAGCAATATTTCGTGGATGGAGTGAAACCCTGCCGAACGTATGTACGAATCCATTTGGTGCTTGTATAAACTTGTCTGATTTGTCGCAATCTCAGTTGTGTGGCTGTTAAGACTTTGCCTTTTAACACCGACGTTGAGATGGAATGCATTGCAGTTCTGTAAATGGCTTTGCTCATCTGCAATTGAGAAAGCCTCGACGATCTAAGCTTTACTTTTCCTCGGAAATGGGCTTTGTTTAAGTCGATTGGTTGGGACAACAACAGTATTACACCTTGAGCACAAAGCAGCCCTAAGAGTAGCTAGCATTAGTTGCAGCCTAGTATAACTTGGACAGTATTATCCCAGGAAAGCGTCATCTGCTTGGCTTTTCATATATGTTTGCGCCTTCAAGTACTCAAGTAAATACTAAACACTCTTGGCATATCTTGGTATTCCTCTAGCCGTTGCGTTGCCTATTGAGCCTTCTGTACGAACTTGCTATTGGCACGTATCCAGACGCCGTTCCTGATGAAGACAAACGGAACTATGGCCATAGCTAGTGAGAATAAACCGAGCAGCGAGCTCGCCCAGTTAATGCCCAATTTGTTATACATAGGGGTGGTAGCCAAAGGGAGAAAAACAGCAAAAATAGATCGCAATGTACTTGTTGCTGCAGAGGCTGAGGCTGAGAATTGCTTGTACGCATCGGTGAGATAATTGAGGAGCGCAACGAATATTAACAGGTAGCCGAATCCGAAGAAAATCCCTGACATCATTGGCATCACTGGATGCATGGAGAGCTTTGCAGACCATCCAAGCCAGAAAAGTGCTATAGGAATTCCGGGAGCTCCAATACAGGCAAGCGGGAGACGGCGATACTCCTCCAGTTTGGCCCAACTCAGTTCCGCTCTCAAGGCTTTGCTGTAGTATGAGCTGTACATAAAAACAATGATGAAGGCAATAATCGACCCTGGCAGAACTGGCAGGAGGTTAGAGCTTAATTTAGTCACATGTTAAAGGTTTCTCACTTGGAAGAAAGGCTAGCCCGACCACACCAGCAGAGAGGCCATATAAACCTAATGGTATTAGCATCTGGTGACATGACGTGACATTATATGACATACCGTGGAAAATGATGGGATATGCCTGGAAATACAGGTATAAAATCGAATAAATGAGCGCGAGGTACAGCGAACAACAGAAAACAATCGGTTCTCGTATGAACATGAGGAATGGGCGACTGAGGATAGTGCTCATCTCATTAGAGAAACCCCTTGTTCCTGAACAACGTCCTGACAAACTCTTTTCTGTAGTCTGTTTCTCATTATGAGACTTTTCATGCCTCTGACGCAAAACTGGTACGTATGTCTCAGGCATGGTAAGTAGGAGAGGAAAACCAGGAGCGCCAATGATAAGACCGGCCCAGAAGGTCCACCTCCAAGTGATTTCAGATATGAATCCTGAGATAATCGGTCCTAGAAGGGGTGGGAACGTTGTGGCAAACATGAACCATGACATCGCTAATCCACGCTGATGCGGATCATCGTATATGTCGGAGAATAGACCACCTAATATCGCATTTGGTGCTGAGCCTCCTAGTCCGCAAAAAAATTGAAATGCAAGAAGCGCTGGAAATGTCGGCGACACTGCGCATGCCATGGTGAAGATTAGATAGATGGCAATGGTAATCACAAGAACAGGCTTTCGGCCAAAATATTCACTCAAGGGACCAAATAGAACAGGACCTATAGATAACAATACCTAAGTGAGTATTTTCGTCTTACCTGTAGGCTGCAAAAGCCTGACGTACCTATCGCAAAGCCGGCCATGTAAAGTGACGTTGGAAGAACCATTCGGATGCTCTCTTTAGGGATGTGAAACTCATCAGCGATCCCATCGTGAGCTCCAGATGCGATAGAGGATCCGAGTGAGCTGTTGAAGACAAAATACACGCCCGCAACAACGATGTGAAGCTTTCGAAGCTTTTGAAGTCAGCGCGGATATTTCCAACCTTAGTTCGGACCAAAAGCACTATACCGGAGCAAACTCGAACGGACGAGGTAAACACTTTCCAGGAACAATCTCCCGAGCGTGGGGTGATTCCTGTGAAGTGTACTTTACAATAACTGGCATCTCCTGTGATCTTCAATGTCTTCCTTAGATTACTAGGTTGGGCCCCGGGACATTTATAAGATAAGGTTATCATAATTCTCAATCATTTGGTGGGCCGGCATTCAATCCGAAACTGGGGTGGGCAGGCATGGAAAACTTCTTTCCTTGTGCAAATTTGAAAAATTACTGTAATTATCTGCACTTCCCAAAATGGATTATTCTGAGGCCAATTTCTGAGAGAAATAACGAGGAATGAGTCGCGGGATCCCGATTATCGGATCTCGGCGAGATGGCCGAGCTGGTTATCCTCGGAACCATTCGACCCGCAAAGAACTCCGTGTCCCACCGCTTTCGCATATTCTCCTCGCAAAGAACTCCGTACATTCTATTCGCAAAGAATTCCGTAATGACGTAGGCCATGGATGCCCTGTCTGCTCTTACATTATATACTCTGAACAGATAAAATTGTCAGTCTCTACAATTGTCCCTTCCACCATGACAAGCAAGCTCAGTCCCATCTACGTTCTTGGTTTGGGAAGCATCGGGTCATTCATTGCGCACTCCCTTCGCTCTCTTCCCGACCCACCCTGTGTCACACTTCTCGTTCACAAAGAAGGTCTCTATCAGGAACTTTCATCGAGCAACTGGACACTCGGTCTTCGAATTGGAGAGGACGGGATTTTGGAAGAAAGATCCGGGTTCGATGCCGAACTGCTGGAAAAGAAAATATCGAGTTGTACCGACCCCATCCGTTACTTGATCGTCGCAGTCAAAGCATCGGCGACAGTGACCGCCCTTGAACCATTCAAGGCCCGAATAGGACGAGAAACTACCATATGTCTCTTTCAAAATGGCCTAGGTCAAGTTGAAGAACTAAATGAACAACTTTTCATTGATCCTTCAACACGACCAACGTATATGTTTGGCATCGTGCGCCATGGCGTCTACCTGAATTCAGCAATCGAGGCTGTATTGTCAGGTCCCAATGGCTGTGCTGCAGTCGGATTTGTAGACAGCGGTGACAATGCAGCGCTATGTCAGCATCGGTTCCTCCTCGACGCTCTTCTTCGATCGCCCAGGCTTCGTTGTACGGAATTGAACTGGGCAGACCTTTTACGAGTTCAGTTACTGAAACTAGCCACAAATTGCGTCATCAATCCATTAACAGCAGTACTGGATATCCGCAACGGTGGCCTCTTTGATAACCCTCATCTCTGGCCAATACAACATTGTCTATTGAAGGAGATCTCGAATGTTTTTGAGAATCTTCCTGAAATCAAATGCCTGCCGCGTGACCCCGCCCATTTCTCTGTTGCATCTTTGACGGCCATCGTTCAGGACACCGTGGAAAAGACTGCACATAACTCCAGCAGTATGCGTGAGGATATTCGAAAGGGGAGGCCCACCGAAATCGGATTTATCAATGGCTGGATCATTAAGCGAGGCAAAGAATTGGGGCTTGACTGTGCAGTAAACAAATGTGTGACACAACTAATACTTGCAAAGAGTCATCAGGGGTTTGGGAGAACTGAAAAACAAGTGTGAACTGTTCGCGTACTTCTTGTTGACTCGTTAGCCATAGCCTGACAAATCGAAGTCAAGCGTGTACAACATGCAGATATCCGATCGCACTATTATTGATTCTGAGGAAATGCCGTAATGACTACTCGTAGCCAAGATATCTCTGATAACGAGTCATAGTAAAAAGTTCAGAGCAATAATATGATCGACAATTTATGGCACTACCTGCGCCGAATCTTCTTCCACGGCGAGCATTCGAATCTCCATCTACTCCATCCAAGTGCCCCACGCCAATCACGGAGGTCAGAACGACACCTGCGACACGGTTTCCTATCCACATAGGAATTTCTGTACTCCTGTGAGTGAGGATTGATTTCATTGGCTCGTCAGCTTGCTATAGGAGCGGGTCTCTGCAGTGGCTTTCATTGGACCTAGAAAATCTATGGAAAGACTGCTCCCAGGGGGCCCTCTTCGATACAGAGCCTTCTTCGGGCAGGACCAAGCAAGTGACCCTCACTCTTAAGATGAGCTATCTGAAAATAATATGCTGTCCACGTCCGTTCGCGTTATCACTTCCAGGATACTCTACATAGCTCTATCAAGAAATTGTCATTGTTTCCTTAGGGCATGCAATTACACGGATGAAAAGGAAGAGCGCGACACTAAAACTTGTGTCGCGCTCCTTGCCCCGGCCCCCGGTGTGTCCCTACTGTCTAGTGCGTCCCTACTCTCCAGTCTCCGCGTCCCATACAACGATCCTAGCACATTGTACTACTTTCTCTGTGATCCTAACGGCGAACAAAGTCTCGAAGAGCCGAAGACGTCCATCGCCAGTGTTCTGTGTCTGTGTTTGATGGCGTTCCATTCCCCTGTTCGTGACCAGGAATGGAGAAATACTGCACAGTCACGACTTCCTTTGTGGACAACTAGCTTCGACCACGCTCTTTCTCAGATACCTAAGGAAGTCTTACAGCAAATCGCTCCGCACTCCGACAGTACCAACTCGGAGTATGTAAGTCCAGAACCGGGTTCAGACTACCAACCATCATCGCCTCCACTAGAATTTCCAACAGCGGGTCGCCGAGTGCCCACGAGGTCTCAAGCCAGCTGTGCGCCCTCGGATGTCCGACACCGGACGCAGTCGCCAGAATCGTCAGGCTCCGACTCGAATCAAGCGACTGGACGCAAACGGGGCTTCAGCCAGGTCACATCTTCCCCTTCCGCCCAACTAGCGGCTCGTCAACGCGAGAGAGCGCGTCGTTTACTACCCAAAGATGCTTCCTGAAGACGGCCAATGTCTAGTCTGTTCCACATCTATGTTCGAGTAAGCACGACTAACCATCTAAAGTGAGTTGCTAGTGCTAATCAAATTAGTATCGCGATGCAGGGAAGAGCAAAACATATCCTACAGTGTAAAAGAAGGTCTTTAGGTGGACCACAATACCAGCAACGCTACAGAAATGAAAAACGTGCCTATCGACGCGTAAAATGCAACTTTGTTCAGTTTTGCTATCTCTGTGCGGAGGTAGTCTGTGACGAAAACGTATGGTCAAACTATTGCCGAAGCCACCTCGACAATCTTCAACCTCGATGTGGTATTTTGACATTTCGCTATACACTTGTTGCCCCTAGCTTCTGCCTATTCTGCTTATGCGACATAGGAAAAGCCCTAGACGAGAGGTTCTAGCAATAGATATCCAAAGCAACTCTCCTAAACTATATCGACAAGCATTTTGATTCTCTAGACCCTTTGATAGCTATCTTCTACCCACACCTATGTTATCAAAAGAAGGAGTATTAAGATCTATCCTATCTTTGTCGCTATATATTTGATTCACACTCTATTAAGGAGCTACGCTCGAATTGTGTTAAGCGAAAAAGGAAGTGGTAGGCTAAACCTATGCCTCTAAATAATTAGGATAAAAGGCACGATATAGAAATAATTGCTAAGGACTATCTTACGCCTATATTAGCCGACCGAAAAAGAATGCGGGTGTCTAAATGTGAGGCTATAAAGACGTACTAAGATAACCGGGCTTAAAGGATAATGTCCAATCTAGAAGGCTGCTACGGTAAGCCTATATTGATCGATATCGACGATATCCAAACCTCTGATAAGGATATATTTATAGAAGAGCTTATACAATTTGGTGATTATTAGATACTAAGCCTAGAGGCTAAGCGTATACTAGAAAGCCTCTGAAAATAAAATTAAGATAATATAAAGTGACTTTGATTTAGACCTTGACATTTCCCATGGGAGTGGGTCCATGGGACTAAACATCTATGGGAAATTACCGTATTTTATTATGATAACTCAGCAATTTATCCATTATTATTATGAAAATAATGTTTAGATGGGAAATTTTTTCAGTCCCATGGGAGTGGGTCCACGGGACTAGACCTCTGTAGGAATTCCCATGGGACTAGATTTTCGCTAGTCCCATGGGAAATGTCAAGGACTACTTTGATTACCATATATCTAGCTATACTATTATTTATAGGATAGCTGTGTATTTATCTTATTATTATATTTTCCGAACCAATAATAAGCTATATATCTCTGAAAGATTGCAGAATAATTAATCATAAAAGCTCGTGTAATATCTAGTTCTATATAAGAGCTTTCGTATGAAGATAATGGCTCCGCACAAGCTTAGAGATAAATTGGATACTAAATTAGTCCCGTATCTTAAAGGTATAAGCGTTTATAGGTGTAAGCTTTTCCAAAGTATAAGGTGTATATATTTCTTCTATAATAACCTATATCGAACGCGATACAGAGCTATATTTCAATCTTATTATATAGCTCTCGCAAGAGCTTCTGAGGATGTCAGGGTTATAGGATCATGTGATAAGAGGAAAGGAAGTAATAAAGAAGAGAGTAAGAAGAATAAAGTGAGAGAGAAGAGTATAGTTATTTATTTCAGTCGGGGTATCACTCTCTATTTATGTTATTTCCCCTAGGTGGCAAATGCTCTTGCCACCTAGTTGATTTATCAGCATTGGTAATTTGATTTATCAGCAGATGCTTCTAGTTCTTTCTATTAGCTTCTATTGCCGATAGTATCCGAAGGTATTCGGTTATAGCCGAGATCTCGGTTCTTATTGGTTCGGGATCTTATCTTATAGATAAGATCCACTATATTATAATTGGTCTTATAGGAAAAAGTGGCTTTTTCCTACCCTCCATTATATAAAAGGGTTCTTTTATAGTCGTATAGACTTCTTATATTGATACCCCCCCCGTAAGCTATATAGGGTAGGGTACTCTATATAGGTTATAGTATATAGTATATTGGCGTATTATTATTATAGTAGTATTTTTTATGGTATAGCACTTAGACCTAGTAGGTTTAAATGATATTGATATAATGGTGTTGCTAAACACTTAGTGAGTGTATCTGCCAGTTGGTCCTTTGAGCTTACGTGTAGTAGCTCAATTTGGCCAGTAGCTATAGCATTTCTTGTAAAATGATATATAAGCTCAATATGTTTACTTCTTTTGTGGAACTCAGGATTTTCAGCCAACTTCTTCGCAGACATACTATCCACTAGTATTTTTGGAATAGAAGTGGAATATCCGAGTTCTAGTTTCTTATTGATATAGTTGAGCATATTAGCTAAGTAAATAGCTTCTTTTGTGGCTTCTTTTAGTGCCATATATTCTGCCTCGCAACTACTCAGTGCGGGTGTTTTTTGTAATTGTGAATTCCACGATATAGGGTTATTTTGTCCTATAGTAGGACTAAGGCTAAAGATATAGCCTGTTGTAGATCTTCTATTATCTAGGTCATTCGCCCAGTCGCTATCAGAGTATCCTTTTAGTATAAGGTCTTCTCCAGCACAGTTTAGGGTAAGCCCTAGATTAGGGCTTCCTAAAAGGTATTTCCAGATTTTATTTAGTGCCGTAAAATGCTCGCTATTAGGATTGCTCATATAGCGTGCACAATAGATCACTTTATAGGTTATATCAGGCCTAGTTTTTAGTGCTAGGTATAGTAGTGAACCAATATGTTTTTGGTATATTTTGACGTCCTTAGGGTCTGCTATGGTGTCATTTTTTCGTAGTTTTGCCCCTGGTTCTCCTGGTATTAGAGTAGGCTTATATCTTGGGTTATTTATTATATTAAACTTTTGTAGTAGTTTTGCAGTATATTCCGACTGATTTATATATAGCATCTTTGTGCTATAGTTTATTTTTATAGTATTTCCTAAGAAGGTAGACACAGGGCCTATTTCTTCTAGTTTCACGTATTCTCTTATTTTATTAGTTATATTTCTTATATATTGTATATTAGGATGTATAGCCAATATATCATCAACGTGACATATTAGAATACAGCCTGTTTTATGGTTTATAAATATTCCTTCGTCGTACGGGAATACGTCGAATTCGAATCTTAGTAGTATAGTGGCTAGGTGTTTATACCATAGCCTAGGGCTCTGCTTTAGGCCATATAATGCTTTCTTTAAAAGGCAGCATTTCTTATTATTATTATATACCCCGATAGGTAGTATGGTATAGATATTAGCGTCTATATCGGCGTGAACAAAAGCGTTTTTCACGTCGTATTGTCTTATTTCCCAGCCCTTATTCACCGCTATTATCAGTAGTAGGTGCCAGGTCTCTGTTCTACACGTAGTAGAGAATGTCTCTAGGAAGTCTATTCCTAGTCTTTGGTTAAAGCCTTGTATAACCCAGCGGGCTTTGTATCTAATAGTCTTATCACTATTAGTTATATAGGACGGCTTTACACTATTAGGGTCTAGTATAGGTTTTTTCTTAAAAACCCAACGGCCTCTAATAGGTATAATGTTCTTTGGTATATCTATTATATCGTAGGTATTTTGTTTTTCTAGCTCACTTACTTCTTCAGCGCATGCGCGGAGCCATTCATCTTTTTCTGGGCTATTTATAGCCTGATTATATGTATTAGGCTCGTCTAAGTGAGACGTAGTTAATATAAAGTTATTATTAGCGGGTAATTCCAGGCTCGCTATTATATTATTTATAGTGGTATCTTTTATAGTATAGAAGAGCGTATTTTTAATCGGGATTTGTATTTCAATTTTATGTTTTGGGTCATAGTCTATAGCTTTATAGCTATTGTTATTAGTATTGTTATTGGTATTCTTATTGGTATTGTTATTGGTATTGTTATTGGTATTGTTATTAGTGCCTATATATAGGCCTATTTTTGAGTCCTTCTTCTTATCTGTTTTGTTTATTGGTTTTAGGAATTGATTCTCTGTTATAGTAACGTCTCTTGACCATAGAGCCGTCTTTTTGTTATAATCCCATAGTTTATAGTGTTTGTATTCGCTATAGCCTATAACAATAGCTTCTTCTTTTCTAGGAGATAGCTTTGATATATAGGAGTTTTTATGGTAATAAGCTTTTGATCCCCAGGATCTTATATTGCTTATATTAGGTTTTATTCCATAATAGGCTTCATAGGGTGTTTTAAACCCGAGTGATGTATGTGGGGTTCTATTATATATATAGCAGGCATGTATTAGGGCTTCACCCCATAAGTAGTGAGGCGTATTTGATTGTATTAAGAAAGAACGTACTTTATTGAATAAAGTAAGATTTATTCGCTCTATTAAGCCATTAGGCTCTTTTGTATAGGACGGAGTAGTTCGATGTATAATGCCGTTTTTTGCTAGACTTTTAGCAAAGGGCATATTTATATATTCTCCTCCGTTATCAGAGAACAATTCTCGTATTCTTCTCTTTTTATTGTTATTTTCTACTATAGCCTTAAAGTCCTCAAATGCTTTATAGGCACCGTTCTTTGTATAGATAAGGGAAACCCATAGGTATCGGGATTTCTTATCTAAAAACGTAATATAGTAGGTATATTTATTGTACGTAGGTGGTAGTGGCCCGCCTAGGTCTGTATGTATTCGGTCTAATATATCGTATTCTATAAGATCAGATGAGTTCTTATAGATATATCTATTGTCTTTAGCTAAAAGGCATATTTTGCATTTATTAGCTATAAAGTTATTGATATCTTGTTGAGTTATAGTGATATTCTGGGCCCGTAACATATAAGTTAGGGCTTTTATATTGCAATGCCCTAGGCGTATATGCCATTGGGTCATTATTGTAAGATTATTAGTCTTTTTATCTTTTGCTGTTTGCGGAAGGTCTATTATTTTCTGTGCTATTTGAGCACTTTCAGTATTGTTAGGTAGTATTTGAGCTTCCGTATAGTATAGG